GGTCCACCGGGAGATGCAGGAGCACCCGGAAACCCAGGACCTGACGGCCAGCCTGGTCCACCTGGAAAGGAAGGAGGTATGGCGATGCCTGCGGCACCCGGACCAATGGGATCCATGGGCTCCATGGGACAAGGAGGTAACAACGGAACTCCGGGTACGCCTGGACAAGACGGACTCCGCGGGCCACCCGGGCCACCCGGACAACCTGGACCTCCTGGTAATCCTGGAAGCGATGGAAGGCCCGGAGAGAATGGAAGCGCAGGAACTCCTGGTTCTGACGGTAACTACTGTCCTTGTCCTCCACGCTCTACCGCATACGTCACCACTCCCTATAGAAAGGTGGCCGTCGCTGTCAAGAAGGTTGTTAAGAAGCTGTAAATCCCTCTTCAACGTTTCCGTAGAGTCGACGAATGTGTTCAGTCATAGTCATTCGTTGAGAATAAAGCGTTGGATCAGATTTTCGAAATCATTCAAAATTTAAGTTTAACCGCAAGATCAAACCCATATTTTGTTTTTTTCTGCTGGTGTTGACATCAATTACCGCAGCGATGCGGTTGCAATTTCTCCATCAGTAACTCTAATAAAATCGCTATGTATTTTTGCCATCATCAGTCATCGTAACGAGTCGTTCTTGATGGACGATAGCAAGAAACTGCGTAAATGAATCGGAACTAGCGGAGAATTATTCCAGATAGCGCACAAGACTACAACACCTTTACTTCGCGTACAAATGTCAAGGTGACACAAGCGATTATATAATATGAAGATATTTTTGAAGTGGGTAGCATTCCTAAGGAAGTTTTATACAGCATGAATGCAGTGAAACATTTTATTTCAACTTAGGTGAGATCAGTAATTAATTATTAAAATATTTGCTTTGATTTAAGTCTCTTCTTTTATTGGAGAGAATTGGATTTGACGTGGTTCCAGAGTATGACGACTGAAAGATTTAGTTAATATGGGAAAGGCAGATGAGGCAAGGATTTTTTTGCATACAGATAATCAAAAGTGTACAAAAATGCAAATACAGGGTGTCCCAAACGTATCGAACGTATGATCGTTAATAACTCTCATGTCACAAAGTCTTTCGAAAAGCTTTAGGTATCCATAGAGCTGGCTTCAACTTAGGTTTGCAGTATAGAGGGAATCATTGATCTTCTTTCATTAGTGTAGGATTACGGTGGGAACTTTGAATAGGGTTTTTAGCCACAGTAGTCGTATTTTGGCGCAGAAAGAAAACAAAACGATCTCAAAACTCTCACATAATCCTAATTAGAGATGCTGGTTGTGATTTCAAATATGAAATTTGCATCCCATCATGTTGCTTCCTCAAAAA